AATCACAGAAAACAAAAAGGAAAGAAATAACAAATTTGCAATGAAATATCCTATTCAGTTAACATATCAGCACAGATTAAAAAAAAATCTTAGTAACTCATGTTGGCATAAATTTAGGAACATAAGTGCGGCCATTATAGATCTTTCTACTTGTAGACAAAATTTACATGAGAAGTCATTAAGATAAATTGGTAGTGCACACTAAGAGACTAAATATTTTTATCTGCTTTGACACGGGATGCTCATATATAGAAATTAATCCCCATTAAATAATCAGGAATAAGCTTAAGCATTTCTACATTTGAATGCTCAAAACAGTGTTATGTACAATCATAAAGAATTAGAAAACTAAATGTCCAGAAGATTAAACTATGTCATTCCATACAACGTAGACACTTAAATGTGATTTTTCTCAATATTATTATTAGCATTCAATGTTCAAGATTACATTGGGAAAAAAACCAGAATACAAAATAATTTCATTCCAATTAGGAGGAAAATGTACTTACACATATGCATAGTAGAGCAAGAAATACGTTGTTGCTGGAGGCCACTGGGTTGGTTGATTTCTAGTGACTTCATGCATAAGAGAAGAGTGGGCTGCCTTATCTTATGCATTAATTTTAATAACAGTTATATCCAGTTAAAGAAAATTGTATTCTCTTATTTTTATACTTTTCTTACATTGTATTCTAAAACCGAACCCATGACCATCAAGTCGATCTTAAATCACTGTTAACCTATAGGACTGCCTTATAACATTCCCACAGCTGTAGAGCTTTTTAGAAGCAGACTTACTGCTTTATCTTACTCCTGTGGAGGGGCTGGTAAGTTCACCACTCTCCTGCCTGGGCTCCTATTCATAACTTAAAAACATCCTACTTCTCAACTAAAAAAAAAAGTGTCTTCAAATATACACACTACACTGTTAAACAGATCTATACTATCAGATCTATGAAATGCTACACAAACAGACAAACACACATAACTTTGGTTAAAAACAATGATTTTTCAACTGTGAGAGATGTGAAGCATATTAATCTGCTTTTGCTTAGTGTTTAGCAGTTACAGGCTGTGGCTTAGTTACACTGTAAATGAGGTTGTTGTAGAAGCTCTGTCTCACATACTCTGAGCACGTGACCAACAGGGACTGGTCATTGGAGAAGGTCATGCTCAGAAGGGTAGAGGTATAGGGCAGGAGAGGAAGACCCCAGATGAGATGGATAGATACAGTAACTGGGACAATGGAGGTAGGTGTGTTGGAGTCAGTGAGACTGACTCAGGATAGGACAAGGTTCAGAGCTTTTGTGCTCTTATAGGGTCACTATAAGTCTCAGGGAACTCGACAGCACCTAACAACAATGACAGTCTTTAAGGAGTTGTGCCGCTCATCCAAGAGCTACACATCCTTGGTGGCTTGAAACCCCCAGTGTTTCTGCCAGAGGCAATCTCCTCTGACTCCATTTATAGCCTTGTAAACCTGAAGGAGGGTCATAATAAATGAGAGAATAAAGCCAAGACTTTAGGTAAAGTTCCATTTCTCAGCAGTTTAATAGTTAATATATAAAGAAGTTCTCTTGGAACCAAGTTTCTCAAGTGGAAAACATTGCTGTTGTGTACTTTCAGTATAGAATAGAGTAATAGCTGGTTCTCCAGTGGGGTTTTAGAGGTAGTAAATCACACGGGAGATTACTCATCTTTTTCCTGTGGAGTAACTAGTGAATTCAAACTGCCTGCCTCTGGGTTGGTGGCGCAATGCTTTATCATCAAGACACCGTCTGGGACCATGCACACCAAGTACAAACTGATCACTGAAGCTCAAATGCAAACTACTGTTGTTTTTGTTTTGATAACTGGAAGGCTGAAAAAGTGATACTGTATGCATGTGTGAATATATACACAGATCTATCTATCTATCTATCTATCTATCTATCAAATCTATCTATCTATCTATCTATCTATCTATCTATCTATCTATCTATCTATCT